CCTTCTGTAGAGTTAAATCGGCATTAAATAGTTGAATTCTCTTTCTTACCTATTTTCAATTTAAAACTCCTTAGAGGTCATCTAGTCATGTTCAAATTTTCTACATGCAATATTTATAAAACTTTAGTATCTGGGCCTTATCCTGCAGTCTCCAAATACTTGGGAATTTTTAGATATTGTTATTGATTGCTCACTTAATTTCATAATGAGAACATACTTTATGTAATTACAGTCTTTTTACATGTATTAAGACTTGTTTTTATGGCCTACCTTATTTTCTTCAACTTGGTGAATATTCCAAGTACATTTGCAAAGAATTTTTAATTTTCAGTTATTGGGTATAGTGACTGTAAGTGTCAAATTAGACCAGTTAAGTCAAGAGTGTTGTTCAAATTATCTGTATCCTTACTGATTTTTTTTTAAGGTCTACTTTTCCTTTTGATTTTTAAGAAGTGTGAAAATCCTCAACTAAGATTGTGGATTTGTCTTTTTCTCTCTTTTCCTTTGACAATTTTTGCTTTGTGTATCTTAAAGCTCCATTATAGGTACATACAGATTTAGGAATGTTATGTCTTTATGATGAATTAATTCTTATATCATTGTGACACGATACTCTTTATCTTTGGTAATATGCATCAATTTGAAGTCTGTTTTGTCTGGGATATTAATATAGCCATATCAACTTTTTTTGAGTAGTTTTCTTCCTATCTGTGTCTTTATGTTAAAAAAAAAGCCTTTTACAAAACACAAAAAGTTGCTGGAGTGTTTAATCCATTTATATTTAGTGTTATTATTGATATGGTTGTCTTCTGGCGTTTTGTTGTTTCTAGTGAGAAGTCAGCCAAAACATCTCATTGTTTCTCTGTGGAATGTGTCTTTTTCTCTGTCAATTTTTAAGATTTTCTCTTTATATTTTATTTTTAGAAATTTGAATAGGACGTGTCTATGTGTGGTTTTGTTTGTATTTTTTTCCCTTTGGGTTCATTGAGCTTTCATACAAACACTGTGTTTTTGTTTTTGACCAAATGTGGAAAATGTTTTTGGTAAATAGTTTGTCAAGTATTTTTTTTTTCTGCCCCATTCTCTCTCTGTTCTTCTGGGACTTCCATTATACCTATGTTAATAAAGTTCTATTCATTTTTCCTTCCAAGTTTTTTTCCTCTATGCTTTAGTGTGGATGGTTTCTCTTGACTTATTATTTTAGTCTAGTGAAGCTGCTATAACAAAATACTATAAATGAGGTAACTTTTAAACAACAGAATTTTATTTCTCAGTTCTGGTGGTTGGGAATTCTGAGATAAAGACTCTGGTAGATTTGGTATTTGGTGAAGGTCCAATTTCTTGTTTATAGATGGTACCTTTTGGCTATGCATGTGGTGCACGTGGTGGGAAAGCAAGGTAGCTCTCTAGGGTCTGTTTTATAAATGCTCTAATCCCATTATTTTAATCATCTCCCTAAGGCCCCCTGCCAATTATTATTACATTGGGGATTGGTTTTCAACATATTAACATCCAATCTACTTCACCTGTCTTCATGTTCACTAATTCTACTTTTGTTGCTCTTCTATGCCTTGGTTTTTTTCCCCCTATTTTGCCCAGAATTTGTCATTGTCATCAGTAGCATCAGTAAGATGCTTAGCCTGATATGGGGTAATTCATCATCACTGGAAGCTGGTACCTTTTAATTTCAAATAAAAGAATATTTGAGTATAAAATATGTTAAGAAAGCTCCCTCTTTTTTTTAACCTATTCATCATTTGTCCCATAAAGCGGAAAGTGTCCTATTGATTTAAAAAATTATGTTTATACTCCTCTTTCCATGAAATTACACTCAGATAAGCAGAACTTTGAATTGGTTTGCCACAATAGCTACAGAATTGGAAATGATTCCTCCCTGAAGTGACTGGAAATGTGAATGTGCACAGTTGTAAGCAGCCCTATATGTTTTGTTTTTAACAACTCTTATATAGCACTTAACACGTGCCAAGTCCTAGTCTAAGCATTTTACATATATTAACTCATTTAACTCTTATGTCAATCCAGTGAAGTAGGTGTGATGACTAGCCCTATTTTCCAGATGAGGAAATGAAAGCATAAGGAGATTAAACTAGGGAGTGGTGGAGCCAGATTTGAACCCATGCATTCTGGCACATAACAGGTGCTCAGGAAACATTTACTAAATGAATAAATGAAAGCTCATGACATTTTTTCAATAAAGATAAGCAGATAGTAGATATGAAAGGACTTTTGAAGTAAAACACAAATGTAAACAGGATACATATATGGATATGCGAAGATTCTTCGTTTGGTAAACTGAAGCATATTTTTGGAATATGTGTATCCCAAAGCATTTGGAATAACATGATCCATTATATATAATGTGGGCTAGATGCCAGGGTAGGGTCTGTGTTCATAACCTTTCCCAGTTTCTGTTACCTGTACTAATTATGTTCTGGGTATGTAGCTGTTAATACTTGTGAATTTTTCAAGTTTTTTAATAGTAGATATGCTATTAGTTTATAAGCCACTTTAAGAACAGGAACTACATACTCTGTACTGTGCCAGATACCCAGAAAAGGATCAAATACAACTTTCCTGATAAATCTTGCCTGTAAATCCTAGGCAGTATGAATCATTTTTTCTTTTATACTTTCACAGATCAGTATTTGTCTTTCTAATGAGTGTTCACTTTTTGGCTTGTAGGCTTTACTCTCCTGTTAGGTTGAAAGGTCATTGAGGGTGGAAACCATGCCTTCATCATTTTTTTTTTTTTTTTGAGTTGGAGTCTCACTCTGTCTCCCAGGCTGGAGTGCAGTGGCATGCTCATGGCCACCCCAGCGTCGACCTACTGGGCTCAGGCTATCCTTTCGCCTTAGTCTTCCAAGTAGCCCCAACTACAGCCCTGTGCTACCATGACTGGCTAATTTTTTTCTTTTTTTTTTTAATTTAGAGTAGAGATGAGGTCTCGCCAAGTTACCCAGGCTGTTCTCAAATCTGTGGGCTCAGGCAATCCCCTCACCTTGGCCTCCCAAAGTGCTGGGATTACAGGCTTGAGCCACTTTTCCCAGCCGCCTTCATCATTTTTGTTGACCTTCTTCCCTATTCTGGCATGTAGCCCACATTACATATAATGGATCTTGTTATTCCAAATGTTTTGGAATGTGCATATTCTAAAAATATGCTTCTGTTTGCCAAATGAAGAATTTTTGCATATCCGTATATGTATCCTGTTTACATTGCGGTTATCTTATATTTGTGTTTTACTTCAAAAGTCCTTTCATATCTACTATCTGCTTATCTTTACGGAAAAAAAATCATGAGCTTTCCTTTATTCATTCACCTGTTCTAGTTGCTTAGGATACAGCAAAATAAAGTTCTCTTCTTTCAGGTAGATTACATTCTTATAAGAAGGTAAAGGTGTAAACCAAAATAAATAATGTGCCAGGTGGCTATAAGGACTATAAAGAAAAATGACATAGAGTAGAGTTAGAATATGATAAAGAGCATTACTTTAGATGCTGTGATCTGGAAGGCTTCTATGAGGAAGTATCATTAGAGACCTGAAGGAAGTTAAACAGCAAACTTTAAAAATATTTGGAGTTTAGAAGAATTCTATCCAGAGGGAGTAGCAAAGAGAAAGACCTTTAAGTTGGGGAAAGCAGCAAGGAGGATACACCGTGGAAGTGTGAGAGAAATGAGGTGGAAAGGTGGTGGTGGTGTATGCAGGAGGTAGATCATGCCCACTTGTGTCATATGGTAAGGACTTTGTGTTTCACTCTAAGTTTGATGGAAATTATTGGAACATTTTGAGCTGAGGAGTGACGTATGTATTATGTTTAAAAGGTTCACTATGAATGCTATGGGGAGAATAGGCTATATGGGGAGCAACAGTAGAGTCATAAAGACCAATCATGAGGCTGTTGAAATAATCTAGGCCAGAGAATTGGCTGCTTAAATTAGGATGGTAGCAGTGGAAGTGGTAAGAAGTGCTTAGATTCTGGATCTATTTTAGTTAGAACCAAGAGCCAAGGCAACTTGCTCAGGAATTTTTATAGGGCATGAGAAAAAGAGAAGAGTTGGAAATTATTCCCACATATTTGGTCTTAGCAACATGGTAAATTTTATCACCATTTACTGAAGTGGGAAACACTGGCAGAAGGAGCAGGTTGAAACAGGGCACATATCATTGTCTTCGTTTTATATGTGAGGAAACTGAGGTGTAGGTAGAGTTTTTGATAAGCTTTGGAGTAGAATGCTGGTTGTGTTTATTGCTAGGCTCAGATTTCTTCTAATAAGTATCTCGTTTTTGTTATTAATTTTATCTGTATGATGATAACTTGTATTTATTTTAAAAGTCTTTCAAAAGGAGTCTGAGCAGGGTTGTTTTAAGAGTCATTGAGGTTTTATATATATTTTTAGAATGGTATGGTCAAAGAGGATAGCACCTTGTAGGCGCTGAGTAATTATTCAGTAGGTTAAGTTAAAAGATTTCATATCATCTTCAACTTAACATTCTCATAAGGAAATGTATCTGAGTGGTAGTGATAAATTGAATGAACTGAAAATTTTAGTTTGCCTTTCACAAGGGAGTGGTAAAGATTAGGAATCACATGATCTGAGTTTGGACCTTATGTGTGCCCCTTATTCTCTGTGTAACTTTTAGCAAATCACCCTACCTTTCTCAGCCTTAGTTTTTCCATCTGTGAGATGGAAATAATACCTACTCATCTCACATAATTATTGTAAAGTTGAAATGAGATCATAATATGCTTAATAGGCCTAGCACATAACTGGTTCATCAAACATACAATAAAAGTTCATGGGGTCTGATTCACAATAGAGCCACTATGAGATACTCACAAAAAATCTGTAGTAGAGAAAGTCTGTGGCAAAATTCTCTACTTAAACATATGTTCTTTTTTTCTAAATTATTACATATATTAACGTGCATGTTATAAAGAATGTAAGTCTGAAGATACATGTTTATGTTTACTTTACAGGTATTGGTTTGCCTTGAAACAGGGCTACCATATAGCTTTCCAATGTAGAAGTGAAACAGATAACTTCATGGAAGAGCAAATGGATCCACAGAAGGAAGTTATAGATAGAGTGACTGATCTGAGCATGCTCAGACTATTTGAGACCTACCTGGAGGGCTGCCCACAACTTATTCTCCAGCTCTACATCCTTCTGGAGCATGGTCAAGAGAATGTCAGCCAGTGTAAGTTTTATTTTTCAACTGACATTAGACGGATGCCATTGCTGTCTTATGTCAGCTCTAGAACTCTTTGGCAGGTTTTAGAAATTTTTAATCCTTTTAAAAATTATTAATTTTTCTTTTCTTGAGTCAGAGTTTCACTCACAGCTACTGCAGCCTTGACCTGCTGGACTTAGGTAATTCTCAACCTTCCAAGTAGCTGGTACTGTAGGTGTGTCCCACCACGCCTGGCTAATTTTTGGATTTATTGTAGAGACGAGGTCTCGTCAAGTTGCCCAGCCTGGTCTCAAAACCCTGGGCTCAGACAGTCCTCTTGCCTTCACCTCCCAAAGTGTTGGAATTACAGGCATGAGGCACCGCACCTGGCCTATTCATTCTTTTGGAAAGGAGGTACAATAACATGGTTCAGATAACAAAAAGCATATAAAGCTATGTTGTCTCCCTCCCCCTTCTTCACGTTCCTTCTTTTATCTGCCCAGAAAGGAAGTTACTGTTTTCAGTTATTTGATGATCCTTTCAGAGAATTTTTAAAAAGCACATATTCTTTTCCTTTAACGCAAATAGTGACAGAAAGTAAAAACTCTCTTCACTTTTTACAATGAACAGTACATCTTGGAGATCTATCCATATCAGGAAGTTTCCTTATTCATTTCTTATCTGTGTAGTATTGCAAATTATGGGTATACCATAATTTATTTAACAAGCTCCCTATTTGTGTTAATTTAAATTGTTTCCTATATTTTACTATTTAAAAAAGGCTACAGTGAATAATCTTATGCATATATCACTTTGCATGTGTGAAGTTTATCTATTAGGTACATTTTGAATTGATGTGTAAAAGTGTAAATACTGCAAAACTAATGAAAATTTTGCAAGTTGGCCAATATGTTTGCTATTTTGCAGTAGATTTCCTCATTAAGGTAAAGTGTTTATTTTTAAAAGCAAGTTTGTTATTTTAATCTTTTTAAAAAAAAGTCTTTTCATAGGTATTTGATTTGAGATATTTAAAAATTATTTGTTTTCTAGATAGCAGTCCTAATTTTTCTTAATGACCAGAGTTCTGTGTAGACTTGGTTTAATCTCAGGGGGCAGATTGTCATCTTCCCTGGAGTCTTTCTGTCCTAAACTCACATGTGAGATGAGTTTATCCCTCTAAACAGTCTCCCTATTCTCATTTTCCCACAAACCTCTAGACTGCAGCCCCTTCTTATATTTTTGTCTTTACTTTGATTGTAAAACATTAAAATTAACTTATTGTGCATGACACCTCTTTTTTCTTGTGATGCAAATAATTAATGGTCTTGGACTTAAAAGTTGTGTATCGTATATTTACTGAAGTTGGAAGTTCAAAATTTAGAGCTTACAGTCTGTATTATGGTTGATATGCTTAAGATTCAAGTGAACTATAGCATCTAGACCACCTATGGGATCCAGTGACAGTTTTCTTTATGTTATGGTTCTGTCTTCATTCTTATAATTTCTCCTTGAAGTAGAATATTGAGGTAAGTTAGTTAAAAATAGCAGAAAATGAGAAATAATCTGACTGTTTAGCAATAGAGGAATTGGTAAATAAACTGTTGTGGACTGTTAATATGGAATATTATATAGCTACTAGAAAGAGTGTTTATAAATGACTTTTAATGACATGTAAAAGCAATTATAAAATAAAATTTAGGCAAAAAGCAGTGTATAAAATTTTCTGTCAGCACACTTTTAATGATACAAATAAATTATTATATAGAAAAATGACTGGAAGAAAATGTGCCAAAATGTTAAATGTATTTGCTTCTGGATAGTGGAATTACTAATTATATTTTTCATCTTCTTTTTAATTTTCTGGATTTCCAAAGTTTCTACAGCAACTATGTAAAAAAAAAATCGGGCTATAAGTAGAAGTACTTCAGAAGACTGAACATATTGTTTTGTTTTGTTTCTGCTCCTTCTGGAATGATGCTAAAAAGAATAAAAGAGTATAAAAAACACACAAAAAGATAAAGAGATTGCACAATAGAATAGCAGATTAGAAATATCAATCAGTGTTTGAAAGGCTGGGTGTGGTGGTGCCTGTAATCCCAGCCTTTGGGAGGCTGATATGGGAGGAATGCTTGAGGTCAGGAGTTCGAGAGCGGTGCAGACAACATAGTGAGCCCCTGTCTTTACAAAAAAATTTTTTAAATTAAAAAAAAAGTTCAGAAGATGAAAAGCAGATGGAAAACTTAGGTTGCTTTAATCAACTCTTTCACTGAGAGAATAAATTATTTTATTCATCCCTTCCACTGAAAATATCTGACAATATTGGATACAGTATCTTGAGAAGTCTTCCTAAAGCATAACATCTGATACAACAGGTCAAAATATGCATGAAAGTGGGATTGCAGCATGGTTAAGTGGGACTCTGAAGGCATTTGTACCTGAGAGTTTTTATTGAACCTTATACACAAGAGACTCAGTTTTGATGACTTCCCAGGTTATGGAAGACAGAAGACAAAACTCAGGGTCCTAACAATGGCATACATCTCGCTGGTAGTAATTTATGGTCTGTTAAACCGAGATTCCATAAGGCACCCTTCTCATGTCAGAGTGAAATTACTTGCCTCACTCCCCACTTCGAAGAGACTGCAGGTAATACTGCCTTTATGCGAATACAGCAGGGAAAAAAGATCTCTGAGAAGTTATAACAGTAAGATCTGCAACCAAAATCTATATCTTCTGGTTAGTCTAAAAACAAAACAAAATAATCCCAAAATAAGCTAACAGAAGGCAAACTGGCCCTAGACTGATATTACCCCTAGATGTCCGGTAGAAACAAGAATACATTTTCCCTGGAAAAATCTACTTTCTCTTAGGTTTCAAATAATTTTCACTAATAGTTTTCAAAGGAAAATGAATGTTTGACAGTAGTTTATAGCACCAAACTAAGTAAAGTATTATGAGTAAGAACCAGCAGAAAGATAAAAAAAAACCTCATTAAGACTTTAGATTTTGGAAATTATCAGATGCAAATTATAAAATAAGCATCATATTATGTTTGAAGAAGTAAATGATGAATCTGAAGATATAAAACTGGAAATTATTAAAAACAAGTTATTAGAAAAAGAAATTAGTAGAACTCATAGGATTAAAATATTCAAGAACTGAATTTAATAACTCAGCATATTATACAGAACTAAATAGACAATGAGTGAGTCAATACTAGGCCAGAATAAATTATCCAGATTGTAGTTTAGAGAGACAAAGAGATAGAATATATGAAAAAGATATTAAGAGACTTGGAAGAGAGGGTGGGATGGTCTAATATACATTTGAGCAGGGTCTCCAAAGGTGGGAAGAGAAAGAATGGATCACTGAAATAATTTCAGTGATGATGAGAGACACCTACCAACAGATTCAAGGAGCCCATCATCTTATAAGCATACTGTGTAGAAAGAAGTTCATACTACAGCATATTAACACTAAAGGAAATTCCAAAGAATGTACTTTAGACAGAAGTCTTCTGAGTTATACAAAGAAATAAAGAACAAAAGAATTAGTAAATGTATGGGTAATTCTAAATGAACATTGACTGTATAAGATAAAAATAATGCTATGTAATTAAAAAAAGATAGAATGAGCCGGGCTCAGTGGCTCAGCCTGTAATCCCGCGCCTTGGGAGGCTGAGGTGAGTGGATTGCCTGAGCCCGCGGGTTTGAGACCCACCTGGGCAGCAAGACCTCATCTCTACAATTAATCAAAAAATTAGCCGGGCGTGGTAGGGTGCGCCTGTAATTCCGGCTACTCCGAAGGCTGAGGCGGAAGGATCGCCAGAGTCCAGCAGGTCGAGGCTGCGGTGGCCAGGAGCGGCCACTGCACTCCAGTCTGGACAACAGAGTGAGACTCCAATTAAAAAAAAAAAGATAGAATGAAAATACAGGACAACAATAACATGTAAGTCAGGTGGAGAATAAGTGGAGTTAAAGTCTTTTAAATTCCTTGTATAGTCTGGGAGAAAGGAAAAGCAAATGTGGATCTGGGTTTTTTGAGATGTAAAACAAAAACTTTTGGAGAAAACTTATTAAAATAATAATACAATATTATGAAAGCAAATTAGGTATTGTGTTAGTTTGGTTAGGCTGCCATAACAGAATACCACAGACAGCATGGCTTAAACTACAGAAATTTATTTTCTCACAGTTCTGGAAACTTGAAGTCCAAGATCAAGGTGCCAGCAGGGTTGGTTTCTGGTGAGGCCTCTCTCCTTGGGTTGTAGACAGCCAGTTTCTTGTTGCACATGCAGAGGGCCTTTCCTCTGTGCACACAGCATGAAAGGAAGACTGGGGAGAGATGGAGGCGAGATCTTGGTGTCTGTTCCTCATCTTTAAAAAAAATTTTTATTTTAAAGATATAGGGTACAATTCAGGGTTAGGTATACAAATGTTCATTATGCAGGTACTTGTTGATGAGGTGTGCCCCACCCCCTGGCAGTTTCCCTCTACTGCCAATCCCACCCCTCCTCCCCTGGCAGTTTTCCACTACGGCCAGCCCCTTTCTTATAGTATTGTGATAATTGTTCAAGGTCCACTTTTGAATAAGAACAAGTGGTACTCTGTGCTTTGTTTCTGTAATAGATCACTGAGTATGATAGACTCTAAATCCATTCAAGTTGCTGCAAAGTCCATATGTTTGTCCTTCTTTATGGCTGCTTAATACTCCATTGTGTATATGTACCACATTTTTTTTTTAAATTTTAAAGATGTGGGGTACAATTCAGGGTTAAGTATACAAATATTCACTATGCAGGAACGCTTTGGATGAGGTGTACCCTCCCTTCTCCAGGCAGATTCCTGCTACTGCCAATCTTGCTTCCCTGTCCCGTTCCTGGCAGTTTCCCACTACTGCCAATCCTTTTCTTATAGTATTATGATAATTGTTCAAGGCCCACTTATGAGTGAGAACATGTGGTACTCAATACTTTGTTTCTGTGATAGATGACTCAGTATTATAGACTCTAAGTCCATCTAGGTTGC